AAACGGCTCAACTCAAACACCGCGAGCAGCTGTTCCCGATGGGCCGTCAGGTGAAGTGTCGCGTCTTCCGATTGGACAAGAGCTGTACGCCGTGTAAAATGAGCCTCACGTGCAAGAAGTCGCTGCTCAACAAGAAGTTACCCATTTTGTCGTCCTATGAGGAAGCGGTTCCCGGCTTTGCGACCGACGCTGTGGTGGCGCTGATCCATAAGAAGGGCCTTTTGGTTGAGTTCTTCAACGATGTCAAGGGTTTCATACCATTGAAGTATTTGAGCTCAACTCGAATTGAGTTTCCCGAAAAGGTCTTCACTGTCGGCCAGATTGTCAAGTGTTCTGTTGTGACCACTGATGTCGACACCGAACGGATTACCTGTTCATTGATTGGCGTCAAAGACATTAAGATGTCGAAGAATAATAAGAATTCGACGCTAACTGTGGGTCAGGTGTTGAGGAAAATGAAAGTTACAAATAAGTCGGATAATGGACTCGATTTAGCCGATGAGGCCAAAGGGTATAGCGTTTTCCTACCCGTCGGCCACTTAGCCGATGATAACCAGACGTCGGCGATGTTGAGCGAAGCGGTCGCTGTCGGCGATGTCATCAAAGAAGTGGTTGTCTTTACCATCAAAACCAGTCTCGTTATTGTCAGCCGAAAGGGAGCTTTCATTAGCGCCGCCAAGAATAAGACATTCATCTCATCCGTCGGCCAATTGGAGCCCAATCTTGTTGTGCCCGTAGTTGTCAACGGATTCGCATCTTATGGCATATTTGTGGAAATGGCCAACAATATCAAGGGATTGGTTCCCAAACGATATCTCATCGACGGTGCGATCGATGAGCCCAAGAATCTGGGCTTTTCTCTCTACCAAACAGTTTTGGCCAAATTTGTTGACTTTGAAGAGCAGACACCCGAAGACGTGGACAAGAAAGTGCCCCAGAAGTTGGCCTTTTCGTTGAAATTATCTCACGTGTGGAACAAACGCAACGATCCGTTTACCGATCGGGTCCACTGGTTTGACCGCTACAGCGCTGACACACGTCTAGCGTTGGATCTGTTCTGTAAGAACGGCGTCGCAGACGAGCATAAGCTGTACGGCTATAGAGTGGGCGAAATCGTTAACTACCGTATTGTCGAGTCGGACGACGTGACCGAAGTGTCCGCCACTGCGCGACACATCGGCGATAAGAAAGTCAATTCTATTCGGGCGTTGATATCGAAATGTCCGGTGGATTCGGTTCTGGAGATGGACTCCGACTATAAAGTGGGCGCAACGGGCGAAGCGGTGGTCGTGGGCTTGGATTTGGCCGATCAACGAGTGGTGATTGTTATTAACCAACGTTTGGTTAAACAGATTAAGAACTCTGTGAAAGTGAAGGCCGTGTTGAGCGCCAAATGCGAGCAAATCATCAAAAGTACACCGATTTATATCTGTCCGCAGTATGTGTTGGTTGTGTTGAGCGGTCACGTGCCCGGACTCTTGGCCTACATTCCCGGCCGACGCCATCCGAACGACGTTCACGGCATCTCTCATCTGTTCTCATTGTTCAACGCCTATCACGTGATTATCAAATCAGTGACCAATGATAAGGTTATCGCTGTCTTAAAGCCCGACAAAGAGCCCGCTATCAGAGCGGCTAAGAGTAATGCCAAAGAGTCGACCAAAATCGTGACCACCGCTGAAGAGAGTGTCAATAAAGAGAATGCTGTGACTAAACGGACGAACGGGTTTCAAGTGACCGCCGATAAGAAGTCCGCAAAAGTGGTCGAAACAAAGCCCACGCGAGTGACTGCTGGCAAACGAAGACTGAACTCAGAGTCTGAAGAATTGGCACAAAAAGTGGTTCCCATTGCCAACGAAACGGATGCGGCGAAAGCCAAACGTTTCAAACGAGATGTACTCAAAGTGAGCGCACCGTTCAGTTGGACAGTAGAGGACGCGACACCCGATCTGAATCGTATGGCCAATGCGTTGACCGCCGCAGACAACAGCGCCGGTGCCGACCATTCGTCGTCCGACAGCGATAGCGACGCGTCGGGGGATTCGGAAGAGGAGAATCCGAAACGACGGCAAACGCGAAGCGAACGCAACGAAGAGGTTCGCAATCGGGAAGCGTTGCTCCGCAAGAAAGAGGAGCTACTGATGGACACCGAGCGGACGCCCGAGACCGAGGAGGACTACGAACGGTCGGTGTTGGCCTCACCCAACAGTTCGCTGGTGTGGCTCAAGTATATGGCCTATCACTTGGAACAGTCTCGCGCGGACAGCGCCCGAGCGGTGGCCGAACGCGCCCTCAAGACCATCACATTCCGCGAAGAGAGGGAACGACTCAACGTGTGGTTCGCATCACTCAATCTGGAGACTATGTACGGCTCGCAGCAGACGGTGGACGAGGTGTTCGGCCGCGCCGTACAGTTCAACGAACCCGTACTCGTGTACCAACACTTGGCCGACGTGTACGCCAAGAGTGGTAAAAACGAAGCGGCGGAACTGCTATACCATCAGATGCTGAAGAAGTTTCGACAAAACAAGGCGGTGTGGATAGCGATGGGTATGTTTTACATGAAGACCGGGCGGCGTGAGGCGACCCGACGTCTGATGCAACGCGCGCTGCCGTGTCTTCAGAAACGGGAACACATGGAAGTGATCACTAAATTCGCACAAATGGAGTTCCGTTTGGGTGACGTCGAGTACGGGAAGACACTCTTCGAGAACGTGTTGGCAAACTTCCCGAAACGGGTGGACGTGTGGTCCGTGTATATCGATATGATGGTCAAGTATGGCGTCAAAGAGGGCGACAATAGCGCCGAGAATGACGAGATGGTGAGGAATATCTTCGAGCGGGTGATTACATTCAAGTTGGCCGCCAAACAAATGCGATTCGTATTCAAACGGTATATCGATTTCGAGACACAACGCGATAATTACGACCGAATCGAGCGAATCAAACACAAGGCCATGGAATACGTCGAGGGAAAGACCATCACCTGAACGGTTCCCATCATTTGTGGGGCAATAACTGGACATTCATTTTCATTGAAAATTTCAATACTTTTGTTTGAATGCTTAGTATTTGATATATTAATTGAATTTATATTATTTTTCGATCGCATTATAAGTTAATAAATTAATTACATTTAATGAAAATATATATGAATTATGTTTTATAATAAATTGAGTTATGATTTCATTTTAGTGTTCATTTTATTTGAGGCAATTTTATTGAAATTCAATTAAATAATACAACATTTAATGTTCAATAAATTGTACCCAAAATATATGTTTAAGACATTAATAAATGGAATAAATAGATGTGTAATAAAAGGGTTTAATTGTGATTATAATAACTGTGTTTAGAGTCCAGGAATATAAGTATAAGACATGGTTTGGTTCTTCTTATACTTGCGATTCTTTAGACCATCGATTACTTTACCAATCAGTTTGCCATCATTGCCGACGAGTTTATGCCATTCACTCTCCAGACATTGATTCAAATTAATCTTCATGTACTTAATTATCTTCGCGACCAACTCTTCGTTTCCATATCTCTCCATCACTTCCAACATATTCAACGCATTCTTCGCGTTTAGTTTCAAATATAATAGATTCTCGCAAATAGTCTTCAGCTCTGAGACCATGTATTTGTCCGAAACGTAAAGCAATTCTTCGGCCAAAGCATACAATTTCTCGGAATCACCAAAATATAGAAATCTTAAGAACTCCTCGAAGACGTCAGCGTCGATGTCATCAATCACTACATCACTCGTTGTCTTCTCAGACATATCAGTGGTAAACATATTGTGAAACACTTCCGACCGATCGCTGATATAGGCTTTCGAAACGGGAAACTCTTTCCCTTTGACAACGAGTCGACAGTCGTTGAGCTCTTTGTTGAGAAAACTGTTGCCAAAGAGTCGTCTCCTTTTGGGTCCATCGATGGTCTTATAGACAGTGATATCAAAGACAATAGTGAGTGAATCGTTGGGCAGATATTTATCCTTTTGATGCAATAGTTGCGAGTAATTGAAGCCCTCAAACGGGCCGCGTGTGGACTCCATCTGAAATGTCGACCTCTCGAGAACAATGGGGTCCAACGGGTGGCCATCGATGTCGCGGATGTGTGCCGTGAACTGGACGTCAATGGACTCGTCTTCTAACTCTTTCGGCCTGTGATTGAGCCGCAGATAAACGCTAAGACATTCACTGCCATCGGTGTCGACCTCTAACACCGCTATCGCTAGCCATTGATCGGATCCGATGACAATCCCTTCGCTCAGATTATTGACGCCCGTCTCGGCTGTTATCGCTTCCGTAAAGTTGTTGATACGGAAGACCGCTATTGTCTTGTAAATCACTTCATTTGATCCCATTGTTTAACACAAAGAAGTCACTGTTATTGTGCCAAAAGTTTATCAATGATTCAATGCATTCATGAATAACGTCTCGCATATAATAATCCCCTAAACAGTGTTCACAATGTGTTTCAATGCAAACGTACGGCTGTTTTGAATGCCATTCAAACACGTTATTCATTAGAACCAAAAGTTATACAAAACTTGAATACAAATTGTGAACAAAAACTTTTTTGTTATTATTATTGTTTGCATTGAATGTATTGACACTTATTTCGCACCTTTTAATTAGTGTTTTAAAACTAACATTAATTAAACGATTATATAATCAAGTATTGCCGTCACTTTAATTGTATTTTACAACCATTTATTCTCATAGTATTATTAAACAAAAATTATATTTTAATATTATTTTATTTTTGGTTATAAAATACTGATTACAAACTTACATAATGTAAGAGACATTTAATTCATGCAATTTCTAATTAACAAATATACAAAACAAGTCAAACGAATTCAGTTTAAAACAATTTTAATTTATATATAAATAAACTGAATTAGAAAATAAAAATTTTAATTTAATATAAGTCTGTAATTGTGTTGCCTTTCATTAAATCACTGAATTAATGACCGCTTTCTGCCCACACTCTCACTCGTCAGAAGTGTTGCAATCATTGGACACATCGTCCGCTTTTTGTGGCGATTGTTTCGGTTTGCGTCCCCTCTTTGTCGGCGAACTCATAGATTTGTGATAACTCTTGCGGTGAATGAAGAGTCCGGAAGCCGATGAAAACTGTTTACCACAACCTATGGCCGCAAAAGTAAACAAATCAAACGATTAACGCATAAAAATTAACAAAAACTTTTCACGAGTCAATCGCATACCTATTTCAGTGCAAACGTATGGCTTTTCGCCGGTGTGTCGGCGCTTATGAGTGGTCAGAATGCAATTCTGTGACGTCCGGAAACCGCACTCCGGGAACGGACACTCGTATGGCTTTTCACCGGTATGTTTGCGCATATGTGCGGTCATTCCCCATTGGCTATTGGCCCTGTACTCACAGCCGGGCCACGTGCACGCCCGGGGCTTCTCCTTGGTGTGAGTGCGCCGGTGCTCTCTCACGTGATGGCCAGAGTTGCTGCGATAGTCACATCCGGGCCAACCGCACTCCAAGCGTTTGATATTCATGTGCCGATCCTTATGGGCCGAGAGGTGATTGACCCGTTTGAAAGCGAACCCGCATTCGGGCCAATCGCAGATAAACGGTCGCTCCAGCGATAAGTCAAACTGTTCGGCCAACGGTTTACGCGCCCGATATGACGGGTTGTGTTGAAGCCAATGGCTGTAAAACTTCTTCTTATTGGCCGCCTTATAGTCGCAGTCATTCTGATCGCACACATACTCGTTGTCCACTAAGTATTTGCCGATTCGTTCGTTAATCAGCTCGAGATAGCGCTTCTGTTTGTCAATCAAATTCGCGGATTCGCGCGGCTTCGGGCCGGGTTTGGAGTCGGGAGTATAGTTAGGATCCGAATGTTTGGTCACGTGTTTATAAAACTCGGACTTGAATGTCGACCGATAGCCACAGTCCTGACGATTGCAGACGTAGATGTTGTCCGTCGAGTCCCACAGCGGAAGTGTCAAGTCGTCCATTCGCTCCAATTGGCGAAACGCCTTCTTCGACAGACCCGGCGTTTCGTGTCGTTTCATATGACTATAGAAGCGCTCTCTGTTTGGTGTCTTGAATGCGCACAATATATGGTCGCAAACGTATGTCTGTCCGTCCACTAAGTGCTCGGGTTTTATCAAATCAGGCATCGTTTCGGCCATCATTTGGTCGAGTCGGGCGCGTTTGCGGTTCCGATAGGCCCTCGAGGTCGCCCGTTTGCGCTCCCGATGACGCTCTTTGGCCTCTTCCGGGTCGAGCGGATCGATGTGACTGAGAACGTGCTTAAAGAAGTTGGGTTTACTCTTAGACGTGTGACCACAATCGGGTCGATCGCATGTATAGGTTCTGGTCTTGCGGTCCAACAAAGGCATAGTCGCGTCGTCTCTACGCTCTAAACGTCGAAAGTTGTCGCGAGTCATTCCCGGCGTCTGATGTCTTCGCAGATGGTTATAGAATCTCTCCTTATCTTCGGTACTAAAGCCACACATTATCTCATTGCAAAAGTATTTGTCGCCCCGAATGTGCTCCGGGAGTATCAATGCGTCCATCTGTGAGTCGTCGGCCACCACTTGGCTATTAGTTTCGAAGTCTTTGTCCATTTGATCGGAAACCACTTCCCGAGCCCTATAAACTGTAGGTCGGGTCCCGTTTTGGTGTCGGTAGTAGTGTTGGTGAAACAACGTCTTGTTCTGCGACCGATACTTACACTTCGGCCAATTGCACACAAATGCCTTCAGTTTGTGATCAGTCATCGGGAGTAACGCGTCGTCCATACGCTCTAAGCGTTGCATCCCTTCGGGAGTCAAGGCATGAGTTGCGTGTCTTTTGAGGTGATTATAAAACCTAAACCTATCGGCTGTAGTGAATAAACAGCCGCTTTCAGCGCACAGATAATAGTCAGTCCTCTTGTGTTCCGGACGTATCAATTGATCCATTTCTTCGGCGGTAACGTCGAAGAACTTGGATCTCCTCTTAATGGGAGATGTCTTAGACTTTCGCTTTGGTTTCGCTTCATAATCACTATCGCTGTCTTCATTCTTAACGCTAACCTCTTGTGAATATTCACTTCCACTATCACTCACGGCATCACTTCTGTCATCCATTGTCTCCATGTTTTCGTCCACCGGTTGATAGTCATCGCCAGAGACAACATCATTTGAATTGTCGTTATTGTCGTGTTGTTCACCGATTGTCTCTTCAATTGGTTCACGTTTTGGGATCACTTCAAATACATTGTTCACAGTTTGAATACATTCCTCCCGTGTTTCGACGACTCGTCTCCAACTGTGGATCAAATCCATAACATTGTGTCCATTGTTTGCATTCAAACACTTCTTAAGAGCGCGTAAATTGTCTTTTTGTCGGTCAACCGATTCCTCCAAACCTGTGAACTCTGTATATAGTTTATGAAGGTTTGGACTCTTAGATCCGTTGCGACGATTTTCTTCGAGTATATTTACAAGAGTTTCATTCATTTTTGTCATTTCATCGATAATTAGATCCGATTTCTGAAGACAATCAGACATTTGTGTCATTTTGTCTCTCATTTCTAACATCTCTTTCTGACAACTGATCCAAATGTCATTCAATCGGACCTCAAGTGTGTTAAGTGTATGTCTTGAGGCCATTGTCTTAGCCATGGATTGTCTGATGAGTGGATGTCTTCAGCACTGATTGTCTTTCAAACAGATCTTAAGCCAGAAATGGCATCAAATGTGTTGTCAACAAAAGTCACGTGTTTTTAATGTAAACGTCATATTTTAGCGCAAACTTTGAAATCATTCATAAATTGTCACAAATTTTTATGATTTTATTTACAATTCAGACTTAAATACAATTTGTATACAATTTCGTTAACAAATATAGAAAACAAATCAAAAGTTTAAAATTATAAACGAATTAAAATAACTGTTTTATAGTTTAAAATGTCGGTCAATCGGCTGCCATTAACTCAATGCCAACTTTGACCACTTATTGTTGTGGTTGTGGCCACTGTTTCTGTTTGCGTCCCCTCTTCGCCACCGAAGGGATAGAGTTGTGAGCACTTTTGCGGTGACTGAATAGTCCGGCCGCCGCTGAGAACCGTTTATCGCAACCTATGGTGTAATCAGCAAAAAATTGCAAACAATTAACACAATAACGGTTTATATATTTAATGGTAAATCGCATACCTATTTCGGTGCAAACAAACGGCTTTTCGCCGGTGTGTCGGCGCTTATGAGTTGTCAGCGCACAGGACTGTGAGGTGCGGAAACCGCATTCGGGAAACGGGCACTCATATGGTTTTTCACCGGTATGTTTACGCATATGGGAGTTCATACCGGGATTACTATTGCACGTATACTCACAGCCGGGCCACGAACACTGTCGGGGCCTTTCCTTAGTATGAGTGCGTCGATGGACTCGCATATAAGTGTTTGAGTTGCACCTGTAGTCACATCCGGGCCAACCGCACGCAAAATTAGTGATACCCAAGTGTTTGCGGCGATGGAGTCGCAAATACTTCCTGACTTTATACGCAACGCCACACTCCGGCCAATCGAACACAAACGGTCGCTCCAGAGAGAGGTCAAACAGTGCGGACACCGGCACCACCGGTGGGTTGTGTTTAAGCCAATGGCTGTGAAACACAAGTTTGCTGACAGACATAAAGTCGCAGCCGATCTCATGGCACACGTACTGACCATCAGTTAAACATTTGCCGATCCGTTCGTCCATAATCTGCAATTTGCGGCTCTTATGGGCCGCTTCGACATCGACTTCGTCTTTGAGGTTAGGGTTGGAGTGTTTGACTAAATGCTTGTAAAAGTTATACTTCGATTCCGACCGAAACGCACAGTCGGGTCGATGGCAGACATATCGGCCGACCGTCGCGTCCCAGTGAGGAAGCGTCAAGTCGTCCGTTCGCTCCAATCGGCGAAACTTTTCCCTCGATATGCCCGGCGTTTGGTGTCTTTGCAAGTGATTAGAAAACCGCTGCCTATCGGTTGTCCTGAAAGTACAGTTAGACTCATCGCAGGCGTACTGATCGTCCACTCTATGCTCGGGTCGTATCAAATCTAGTTCTTCGCTGACAACAGGTTCGGTGTTTTTGTGACCGTTTAAATGTCTATAAAAATCCTTTTTACTTTTGCACTTATAGTGACAGTCGGACGCATTGCACGTAAATATTCTGGTCTTGCGGTCCAACAATGGCATCACCGCGTCATCTCTTCTCTCCAGATGGCGAAAGTTCTTGGGATTCGTTCTCAGAGTTGGATGTCTTTGCAAATGATTATAGAATCTCTCCTTATCTTCGGTACTAAAGCCACACATGATATCATTGCACACGTATTGGTCGCCCAGTCTGTGCTCCGGAAGTATTAAAGCGTCCATTTTTGAGTCATCCGCTATCACTTGGCATTCAGACTCATTGTCCAATTGGTCTGCCGTTAGAATAGACTTTAAGGTCACGTCTTTGTGTCGGCAGTAGTGTTGATAGAAAACCCTTTTGTTTGCTGAGCTGTACTGACAGTCGGGCCAATCGCACACATAGGCCTTCAGTTTGAGATCAGTCATCGGGAGTAACACGTCGTCCATACGCTCTAATCGTCGCATCCCTTCGGAAGTTAGTGCCGAAGTTGAGTGTCTTTTCAAGTGATTATAAAACCTAAACCTATCGGCAGTACTGAATATACACCCGCTTTCATCGCACAGATAAAAGTCATTCTTCTTGTGTTGCGGACGTATTAATTGATCCATTTGTTCATCGGTTACGTCGAAGAACTTGGATGTGCTCTGAATTTGAAATGTCTTAGATTTCTTAGACTTCTTCGGAGATTTACGCTTAGGTTTCACTTCATAGTCACTATCGCTGTCATCATTCTTGATGTGAACCCCTTCTGTATATTCACTTCCACTATCACTTCTGGCGTCCATTGTCTCCATGTCTTCGTCCACCGGTTGATAGTCATCATCAGAGAGGTTGATGTCTATAGCATTGTCGTCGCATTTAACAGCAATGGTGTCACTAATTGTCTCATTAATTAATAAACTCTTTAGTAGGCTTTCACTGCTATTGTTTACCAAATCATTAGTTTGAATGAATTGTTGCTGAGTTTCTGCGAATTCACTCATATTGTTTACAATCACATCATGTGTTTGAATGAATTGATCCCGAGTTTCGGTCACTCGTCTCCAACTGTGGATCAAATCCATAACATTGTGTCCATTGTTTGCATTCAAACACATCTTTAGAGCGCGTAAATTGTCTTTTTGTTGGTCAACCGATTCCTCGAGTCCTGAAAATTCTGTATAAAGTTTATGAAGTTCTGAACTCTTGGATCCGTTGCTACGATTTTCTTCAATGATATTCACAAGAGTTTCGGTCATTTTTGACATCTCTTCGAGCATTAGATCCGATGTCTTCACATAATCACTCAATTTCTCGATTTTGTCTCTCATTTCTAACATCTCTTTCTGACAACTGATCCAAATGTCATTCAATCGGACCTCAAGTGTGTTAAGTGTATGTCTTGAAGCCATTATCTTAGCCATGGATTGTCTGATGAGTGGATGTCTTCAGCAGTGATTGTCTTTCAAACAGATCTTAAGCCGAAAAATAGCATCAAAAGTGTTGTCAACAAAAGTCACGTGTTTTTGATGTAAAATATTTTTTGAGCGCAAACTTTGAATTCAAACATAAATTGATTTTATTTCACAAAAAATTATTTACAATTAAAACTTATAATAAAAATAAAAATATACTATAAGTTATAATTTATACCATAAACAAAATACTTCTCCCATTTTTATACAATTTAATTAAAGTACACAAAAAATATTTAAAATTATAAACGAATAAAAGTATTAATACAATACAATATACAGTAGTTTATTCTAAATGTGGATAAATAAAAAACAAAATAATTTACAAAAAATACAATGAATATCTGTTATTGTATAAAATGTCTTCAATTGTGTTGTCATTAACTATTGATTCCCTTTCCGTCCCCTCTTCGCCGTTGAAGGTATAGATTTGTGATAACTCTTGCGATGAATGTATAGTCCGGCCGCCGCTGAGAACCGTTTATCACAATCTATAGTCGCAAAACAAAACTTGTTTTGAGCAATAAATACATGGTTTGGGATTTGAAGACTATTTATACAAAACATTTACAAATTATTATAAACCCGAAGAATGCGATTGAAGTGTTGAATAATTAGCTTTTTATTAATTAATATATTGTATGCTTTAATTTTAAAATATACGATATGTTTAATGATATATAAAATCATAAAAAATTTGTAACAATTTATGCGTGAATTCAAAGTTTGCGCTAAAAATTATGTTTACATCAAAAACACGTGACTTTTGTTGACAACACATTTGATGCCATTTTTTCGGTCTTAGATAACTTGTTTTGAGCAATAAATACATGGTTTGGGATTTGAAGACTATTTATACAAAACATTTACAAATTATTATAAACCCGAAGAATGCGATTGAAGTGTTGAATAATTAGCTTTTTATTAATTAATATTTTGTATGCTTTAATTTTAAAATATACGATATGTTTAATGATATATAAAATGACAATTAAATTTAATTGTGAATAAAATCATAAAAAATTTGTAACAATTTATGCGTGAATTCAAAGTTTGCGCTAAAAATTATGTTTACATCAAAAACACGTGACTTTTGTTGACAACACATTTGATGCCATTTTTTCGGTCTTAGATCTGTTTGAAAAACAATCAGTGCTGAAGACATCCACTCATCAGACAATCCATGGCTAAGTGTTACCGGAGTTCTGTATGTGAGTTGTGTGAACTCCAGGCTAACTTACTGTAAACCTAGTCAACAGTCTTTCTCTACAATCTTTACTCTCTGTTTTAGTTCTTTAACTCACTAATACACTTCTGTACGGATCTAATGCTCGAAGAGATGTCAAAAATGAACGAAACTCTTGTGAATATCATTGAAGAAGTTGTCAGAAAGAGATGTTAGAAATGAGAGACAAAATCAAGAAATTGAGTGATTATGTGAAGACATCGGATCTAATGCTCGAAGAGATGTCAAAAATGAACGAAACTCTTGTGAATATCATTGAAGAAAATCGTCGCAACGGATCCAAGAGTTCAGAACTTCGCAAACTTTATACAGAGTTTACAGAACTCGAGGAATCGGTTGACCGACAAAAAGACAATTTACTCGCATTGAAGGTGTCTTTGAATGCAAACAATGGACACAATGTTATGGATTTGATCCACAGTTGGAGAAGAGCTGCCGAAACGCGGGACCAATTCATTCAAACGAACGATTTGGAAAACAATAGCAGTGAAGGCATACCAAAGAGTGAATCAATTCATGAGGCAATTACTGTTAAATGCGACGACAATGTGATAGACATCAACCTCTCTGAGGATGACTATCAACCGGTGGACGAAGACATGGAGACAATGGACGCCAGAAGTGATAGTGGAAGTGAATATACAGAAGTGGTTGACCTCAAGAATGATGACAGCGATAGTGACTATGAAGTGAAACCTAAGCGTAAATCTCCGAAAAAATCTAAACAATGTAAGAAATCTCAGAGTCAGAGCACATCCAAGTTGAAGCTGCATTGGCTACTTGTTTACCTAGTTAATTATGCAGGCGTTGTGTTCTTCTTACTGATAATAGACACGCTACTTTCGCCCACATATAAGTCATGACGGCTATCCAAATCCAAAATATTAGTCTTCAAAAGACACTCAACTCCGGGTCTAACTCTCGAAGGGATGCAGAGATTGGAGCGAATGGACGACGTGTTACTCCCGATGACTGATCTCAAACTAAAGGCCTATGTCTGCAATTGGCCCGACTGTGGCTATCGGTTAGCAAACAAAAAGATTTTTTATCAACACCTTTGCCAACACAAACACGTGGCCATAAATAGTGTCCGAGACTCCGATCAATTGGACGATCAGTTTGAAAATCAAATGATACCAAATGACTCACTAATGGACACTTTGATACTCCCGGAGCACATACGGGGCGACCAATACGTGTGCAATGATATCATGTGTGGCTTTAGTACCAAAGATAAGGAGAGATTTTATATTCATCTGCGAAGACATCAAACGCCGGGAATGACTCTCAAAAACTTTCGACGAGTAGAGGGAAGGGATGACGCGGTTATGCCTTTGATGGACCGCAAGACCAGAACCTATACATGCGATCGACCCGATTGTGACTACCAGTCGAAGAATAAAGATATTATATATCGACATATTATCGGTCACCAAAAATGTGATCCATTGGATCCCGAGGCCCGTAAAGCTCGCAAACGGGAAACCAGTCGGTTGTTTGAGCTCCGAAGACGGGCGCGTCTCGGACTACCTGCAGCCAAAAAGTGTGTCAAAGTGGAGGTCAAAGCGGAACCAGATTTGATAAAACCCGAACACATACTCGACGGACAGACATACGTTTGCGACCAAAACAAGTGCACATTCCGGACACTCGATAGGCAGCGGTTCTCTAATCATCTGCAAAGACACGCAAAGCCGGGTCTATCGAGGAAAAGGTTTTCCGAATTGGAGCGAATGGACGCCTTAGCGCTTCCGCTGTGGGACCCGACTGTCGGCGCGTTTGTTTGCGATCGACCGAACTGTACGTTTCAATCCGAAAGCAAGTATAGTTGTGCCAAACACGTGACCAGACATAACAACCCTAACCTCAAGGACGAACCCGATGTCGAAGCGGCCCATAAGAGTCGCAGACTACAGGTTATGGATGAGAGGATTGGTAAATACTTAACGGACGGGCAGTACGTGTGCGATGAGATTGGCTGCGACTTTAAGTGTGTGGGCAAAAAGGTTTTTTACAAACACTGGTGTAAACATAACATACCACCAGTTGTGCCGTTGTCCGCGCAGTTTGACCTCTCACTCGAGCGGCCATTTGTGTGCGATTGGCCGGAGTGTGGCGTTGCGTATAAAGAGAAGAAACATCTTAACGGTCATAAACTGAAACACTTGGGTATCACTAATTTTGTGTGCGGTTGGCCCGGATGTGACTACAGTTGCAACTCATCCAACTATATCGTTGTCCACCGACGCATTCACACCAAGGAAAAGCCCCGACAGTGTTCGTGGCCCGGGTGTGAGTATACGTGCAATAGTAATCCCGGTATGATCTCCCATATGCGTAAACATACCGGTGAAAAACCATATGTGTGTCCGTTTCCCGAATGCGGTTATAGCTCCTCACAGTCCTGTGCGCTGACAACTCATAAGCGCCGACACACCGGCGAAAAGCCGTACGTTTGCACCGAAACAGGTATGCGATTGACTCGTAAAATACTTAATGTTTGTACAGTTATTGTGTTAACTGTTTTTTGTTTGTGTTGTTTTGCGACTATAGATTGTGATAAACGGTTCTCAGCGGCGGCCGGACTATACATTCATCGCAAGAGTTATCACAAATCTATACCTTCAACGGCGAAGAGGGGACGGAAAGGGAATCAATAGTTAAAGAAATGAAAGACCAAATCAAGAAATTGAGTGATTGTGTGAAGACATCGGATCTAATGCTCGAAGAGATGTCAAAAATGAACGAAACTCTTGTGAATATCATTGAAGAGAATCGTCGCAACGGATCTAAGAGTCGTGATCTTCAAAAACTTTATACAGAGTTTACAGAACTCGAAGAATCGGTTGACCGACAAAAAGACAATTTACGCGCTCTTAAGATGTCGTTGAATGCAAACAATGGACACAATGTTATGGATTTGATCCACAGTTGGAGACGAGTGACCGAAACGCGGGACCAATTCGTTCAAACTCACGACATGATTGTGGACAACCTTTTTGAAGTCATACCACAGAGTGAATCAAATGCGACAATACATAAAGACATTGAAGAAGATGTTAACCAATCTATTGATGTGACCTCTGATGATGACTATCAACCTGTAGGCGAAGACATGGAACAAATGGATGACAGAAGTAGTGGTGTGAGTGATAGCGTAGGCGAGTATATGGCAGAAGCGAACCGCATTTGTGACAGCGATAGTGAATATGAAGTGAAACGCAAACGAAAATTGCCGAAGAAATCCAAGAGAATTGCAAAAGTGTTTGATATCACAGAAGCAGATATGGATCAAGTGATACGACCCGAACACAAACGCACTGATGATTACGTGTGCGACCAAATTGACTGTACATTCAGTACTGCCGATAGGTTTAGGTTTTATAATCACTTGAAAAGACACACAACTCCCGGAATGAGTGCCGAAGTTTTTCGGCGTTCGGAGCGCGTGGACGACGCGTTACTCCCGATGACTGATCACAAACTGAAGGCATTTGTGTGCAATTGGGAGTCATGTAAATACTGGTCCAGAAATAAGACTGTTTTTTATAATCATCACATAAGACATCAAAAGGGGACACAAAAGTGTGTGACTGAAGTACCGGAACTGGTCTCCAACCCAATCGACAAACTCTGTAAAAGCCGAATGAAAACTGTGAGAAACCTTTACTCAGAAATGGATAGTTTGATACTTCCGGAGCACATACTTCACAACCAATACGTGTGCAATGATATCATGTGTCACTTTAAGACCGAAGATAAGGAGAGATTTTATAATCATTTGCGAAGACATCAAACGCCGGGAATGTCTCACAAAAACTTTGTCAAATGCGAGCGTTTGGACGACAAAGTAATGCCTTTCTTGAACCGCGAGACCAGAATCTATGCGTGCGATCGAACCGATTGTCACTTTGAGGCGAGAAATAGAAAAGTTTTTTATAAACATATCGTCGGTCACCAAAACACTGATTCAATCGTCACCGAAGAACCAGATTTAATACGACCCGAACATAAAGTCGACGACCAGTACGTGTGCGACAAAACTGAGTGCAAATTCCAGACACCCGATAGGCAGCGGTTCTCTAATCACCTGCAAAGATATGCAAAGCCGGGTCTGTCGAGGCATAGCTTTAACAAATTGGAGCTAAAGGATGACCGAACGCTTCCGCTGTGGGACTCGACGCTCAACACATATATCTGTAATCATAAGGACTGTGGCTTTCGGTCGGAGTTCAAGACGCCTTTTTATGAACACGTGATGAAACACGCGGTCCCACTAGTGACCAAAGATTTGACCGGAAAGCAATCCCGAAGACAACGATATCGGCTGAAGCACTTGGATCTTATAGATGCGCGGATCGGCAAATACAAAGTGGACGACCAGTACGTGTGCGATGAGATCGACTGCCACTTCAAGGCTGTGGGCAAACAGACATTTTATAAACATTGGCGGACGCATAACCCGAGGAGCCAAACGAACGTCTCTTCAGTCGCCGCCCGGTTCGACATGACTCTTGAGAAGCCGTTTGTGTGCGATTGGTTGGATTGCGGGTTCGCTACAAAGTACCGTGAGCACTTTAATCGCCACAGAGACAATCATTTAGGTATCAAACCATTGGCATGTGATTGGCCCGGATGTGACTTCAGGGCCAATCGCAACGATTATATGATAGCCCATCGCGGCACTCATACCCAAGAGAGACCCCAGGCGTGCACGTGGCCCGGCTGTGAGTACAGGGCCAACACTAAGTACACGCTTAGGTGTCATATGCGCACACATACCGGCGAAAAGCCGTTGTTGTGCGCGTTTCCCGAATGTGGTTTCCGTGCCCGTCAGCCCTGGGTTCTCACAACACATCAACGCATACACACCGGCGAAAAGCCATACGTTTGCCCCGAAAAAGGTCTGTAAATAGTTATAAAAAGTTGTATTAATGTTAGTTTTTGTGTCCATAGGCTGTGGATTTAAATCGGCGTCCAGTTTATACTTTCACCGCAAGCGATGTCACGGCTCTGATTCCCGCCCGGCGGCGAAGAGGGGACGCAAACCCTTGCATTCGCCACAAGTGGACACTTAACCCAACTATTTATTTAATAATGTGATCGTTGAAGAGAGTAACAGTGAAGTGATCACAAATCTGATTATAAATTAGTTAATTACTGTATTTATAAATATGTATTTAATTATAAATTTATTTTAATTAAATTATTTTGACACTTGTTTTGAGCAATAAATACATGGTTTGGGATTTGAAGACTATTTATACAAAACATTTACAAATTATTATAAACCCGAAGAATGCGATTGAAGTGTTGAATAATTAGCTTTTTATTAATTAATAT